TACTTGAGAAAGACGACTGATTATTCTCTGCACTTTAAAGAGTCAGATTTTAAGCTGCAAAGATATGGAGATGCAAATATGATAGGGGATATAGGTGGCAGAAAGAGTGCTATGGGTATGTTTTTACTTTGGGTAATACTATAATTAGTTGCACTTCTAGACTGTAGAAGATAGTAGCACTTTCTACTGTAGAAGCTTAGTACGTTGTAGTTACTGAAGCAAGTAAAGAGATTTATGGTTTCAGTCTTTCTTGGAAGAACTTGACTTGAGATTACGAAAAGAGACTTCGCATTGTGACAGTCAAAGCGCTATTCATTTAACAAATAATCTAGTATTTCATTTGAGAGCGAAACACATATAAGTTAGATGTAATTTGATCAGATCAGCTTTTCAAGACAGAGTGCTGGCACTTCAAAGATTCCAAGGCTGTCAAAATCCAACCGATATGTTTACCAAGGTCGTCTCTAATGATAAACCTAAGTTGTGTGGAACTTAACTTAGACTTCTCCACGAGTAGAAAGGAGTCGTTGTCGTTGCAAATGAGACATGTTGCTTGTTTTGTCTCCAAGTGGGAGATTGTTGAAGAAACTAAGCCAAACCGAGAAGGAAATTAATTTTTCATGTCCATAGACGGAATACCATGGCCCTTTTGGTTTTTATTTACCTTGTCATTTCTAAATTTGGTTTTGGCTTTTTTACGAATTTCCTTTTTCTCTTTATTTTTGGTTTTGCACCTATTATAAATAGAGATAGATTAGTCCTGTGATAGATGAACACAAATAGAGAGCCGTGAGAAATTCTTTAAGAATAAAGAGTTTGAGAGCTCAATACTCGTGTATCTTTAAAGAGTTTTAAAAGATTTAGAGTGACTCGTGAGCATTTTTTTGTGTGAGGGAAAATAGAGAGAAATCATTGCAAAAGGCTTGTAAATTCTTGAGAGATTCTCCCTACCATTTTTGTGGAATCTGTAACGGTAGCAGAGAACTGGACGTAGCCAGATTGGGTGGACTGATATAAATCTGTCGTTTAAGTTTCTTCTCCCTAATCTTTATTTATTGTTCTTGTTGTTTAGAAGTTTTAAGTTGGTTTATCTATTCTTTTAAGCTGTAAGTTCCAACTTGAAAATTGAATTCTGCTTTAATTGTAACCAAAACCTAATATGGGATTAGCTGACAATTATTTATACTTTTCTAATAGAGGTAATTATTAGTTGGTTGTTTTATTCCCTTATATGGGAGAACCGTTCATAGGTGAATTTTCGAGTGAAAATTTTTTGTGAGGTATATTTTTTGCAATCCTACTTTTGCTAAGCTCGACTAAACTTCTCACTTAGGCATCAGAGTGTGTTGAGTTTACACTACATTTAGTGTGCAAATCTTCTTATGTTTGCAGGTAATTGTCGGAAGCTACTTGCAAATTGCAAACAAATCTAAAGGATGATTATATTTAGTCTATTTAATCAACATATTAAATAGTCTTAATTATAAATATTCACAAACTTTTCATCATGGCTTCTTGAACCCAATATTAGCTCATTGATCTTGGAAAATTATGGAAAATACTAAGATCAACATTATTTAACAAGGATTGTGGTTATACGCTCTCGGTTCCATAGACACGTAGATCATCTCGTGAATCATTCCCAAACTAGAAACATTTGATTCTCTTAAGAATTTTCAATCAAAACCCACTTGACACAACACAAAAACACTTCACCAACCCAAATTCTACTTAGAGAGAGATGAAATAGAAGGTGAAAAGATGAGTAGCTAGCTAGACACATTACATCATATAATGCAAGAAAGGTACCAAGTTGATTGTTAGGATGCATTATTATTTTCATAATTGAACTTGAACGTGGACATATATGCATATATATATATATATATCACAAACGTGTTCCCTTGTCCAACTAAAAAGGAGGAGGAGAAAAATGGAAAAACAAAAGGCACAAAAGAAAACAAAATCAAGGACAAAATAATTGAGAGGAGTAAAACCAAGAGTTGTCAAAATCAGTGGGGAAACCAAACTGCCATGAATCATTTGAATCTCTAAAGGATTGAGACGTCTATAACCCCACTACCCACGCTCCCTTTTTTCATAACCTTAAAACTTCTCTCCCTATATTATTATTATTTATTATTATTATGTACTCATGCCTCCTAATAATTGATTGGTTTAAATCTTCTTTTAAATTTATTTGCGAACAAGTAAAATCATCTTTTACCGATAAACTTAGGGTGTGTTTGAGAGTAATGGTAGAATTAGTGATTTCGAAAAAAAAGATTTAAGTATAATTGATTTTACAAAATCACCATTGAAATGATACTTTAAAAATCAATTTTTTAATTTGTCAAACATGATCTGAAAAAGAAAGTGATTTTTGATAGCGACAATAGTGATTTTGACGATGTGAAAATGACTCCCAAACACACCATTAGTCAAAACTTTGTCGGACTAAATTCTAGACTTAGACATGTGTTGACTAATTCGCTCACTAATTTTAACAAAAAAATAATGTAAAAACTCTCCAAGGTACTCCATCCCATGAAAATCAAGTTTTGTATAAAATTAAATTTGATTGAGGAACAAAATAGACCATTAAACAACTCTGTCAAAACTTACAAATTTCAAGAAAGAAAATGGAGAAAAACTACCATGATGTTGTTTTTGTTTGAATTTCTATTAGTTCCCTACCAAACCTATGAATTTGACACATGAGAATTCCTTTCTTTAACAAGTTTTTAAACAAAAATCTATTTAAAGGTAAAAGTTGCAACATTTATGAAATTTTAAAGTGAACTTTGATAAAATTGAGAGTCGAGGATCAAAATTAATGTTTTTTCCATCATTTTATTCTGGTTCTGAAAAAGTTTATTTTAGTTTGGAATTTTTAAATTAAAATGATAATTTTGGTTTGTATATTATGTCACTTAATACTTATCCAATGTCAAACTTTAGCTAATTTATGTTATTCAGTCACTTAGTTTGGCTAACTTATATGTAGTTCCAATAGATATATCAACATGTTAATTTAAATATTTAAAATCACAAATGAACAAAATAATGACAAGAATAAAAAAATTATTGGTTAAATTACGGGTTTAGTTCATAAACGGTAAAAGTTTAGTTCTATCTCATAGAACTTCCAATTTTGAAAGGTGTCTAATATGTTTCATAAACTTCCAATTTTATATCTAAAAATTCATGAATTTTTAAAAAAAAATTGAAAACGTCGAGAACTTATTAGATACAAAACTGAAAGTTTAGAGAAATATTAAATACAGTATATTGAAATTTTAGAGACTTCTTTGACACAAAAAATTAAAAGTTTTGACATTTATTAGACATTTTTTTAAGTTTAGAGACCTACTAGGCACGAACTTAGAAGTTCACAAATTAAATTTTTGAGTTAACTAAATTATTTTTTAAAACTTTGTTACTAAAATAGATACTTTTGAAAGTTAGTATTAAAATGAAATAAGTGTGTCATTTTAGAGATTAAAATAGATGTACTCAAAGTGGAAGGATCAAAATGGAATGGTGTTATAAGTTCTCGAACTAAAATTGAATTTGAACTTATTTTAATTTTAATTAATAAACTAGATTCATGTTGTGAATCTTGCTTTTAGTTTCTAAATTTAGTACTTGCTTTTATATTTCAGTGTCTAAACTTTTAAAGGGTTATTTTGATCACTCAATTTTTCTATAAAAAAAAATTAAAAGAAAAAGCTCACCGGTAATATTGTTGTATTGATTATTTGAAGAGATCCAATCAATCCAAACATTTAACTTGCCATAGGTGACTTTAAATATTTGTCTATATCTATTAATCAAACAAATACATGATGGTTCCAACTCACGAAATATAAAAAAATTTATAATATTTTAACCGGTTGAGTTATGTTTAGATCATTAATTATTCACAATATTTTAAATTTAGTAATACATTCAACATATATCTTTTTAATCACGGTTTTTTTATAACGTTACATGATATACAAGGGGTGGATTAGACCTACAACTTAAATAAAAAAAAATGTTTTAACTCCTAAATAAAACTCTGAAAAGCGCTCAAATAAATATGTTTTAACGGCTGAATAAAGCTATGAAAAAAAGCTCAAATAAATTAAACAGTTATTCAAAAAGCTTTTTAATAGTTTTTTTTTTAGGAATTACAACTTTTGAGGAGTAATCACCCACAAATTTATCAGATAGTAATTGGAAATTTCTAAGCATAGTAAGAAGTTTTTTATACTTTAAATGGGTTAGTACTTCAAACCTATGTTAACTTTTAAATTAAAATATATATAGATATGAAGAATATTACATCATATGTGGAGTGGATTACACTGCCTTAAAAAAATTGGAAAACACTAAAAATAAATCAAATAGTTACTAAAAAAAACCTTTAAATTAATTAAAAAAAATTTAATACAACGACATGTGGCGTCAGAGTCCAAAATTAAGGCCTTTTTTATCCGATATTAATGTCTTAATCTTATCAATTAATTAAAAGAGTTACTCCCAGATTCATTGAATAGTAATTGGAGATTTCTTTATTTCTTTATATTTTATTTTATTTCATTTTTTGGTGAACCCAATAATCGTAAATTTAAAAGCAAAATCAGAAGTTCGGTTTACCAGTCTGGTGAATTTCGTTCAGAATTTTATTACCTTTCTTGGCTGATTGGAAATTGAGCTTTCTTGTGCGTGTAAATTCCCAAAAAGTAATACACGTTTTGGGCCATCTGAAACGCATCTTCATTCTCCAATCACTCCACAGGATCCGATTCTGCGTCTCTTTTTTGTGCGATTTTCTTCAGAAGGAGGTGATGCAATCGTCTGACAGGTGGGTTCTCCAATTGTTTTTTAATTCCTTTCTTTCACCTTTCCAATTTCATTTTCTACTGCTTACCTTTTGATTAATCGCAAATTCGCATGGCGACACAGAAATCAACACCGCAAACTGTTCGGCATATGGATAAAACAGGTCCGTCTACACAATTCCATTACGCTTTCATTCTGCCCTAGCCGACAAATTCTACCCACATCTTTGGATTTGAAGTGGAATCAGAATGAGCTAATTGTTCAATTTTTTAATTTGTTTTTTCCTAATTCGCCCCTCTTTGATTTTGGCGAAGAAAACTGTCGTGTTCTTCTGCCAATTACCCACTTCCCATTATCCTGAATCATGAACCACTCCCAATTTCTCTGTTCGTGATTGTTGATTCGTTTTCTTGAATGGGTTTCTTAATTGGTCTCTCCAAACGCAGGGGTTTTATCATCTTCTTGAATCTCTCGTTTCTCTCACTGGCTTGTGCTTTTTTTGCGATTCGATTGCGCTCTCCAGAACCCCATTTCGATGTTCTCAACAAAAGCTTGAGGAAAATCCATGGCAACGCTCAGGATGATTGCCAGAGTTTTCTTAGTCTAACTGACTATGAGGCTAAGTGCTCTGTTCTGAAATCCAGCAACCCATGTGAGACCCAAGGATATATAGATTATCTTTACATTTTCTATTGCCAGTATGGAAGTTTTGTGATTTTGGGCTATACTCTCCTGTTTCTGTGGCTTCTTGTTCTGTTCTATCTTCTGGGTAACACTGCTTCTGAATACTTCTGCTCTTCCCTTGAGAGCTTGTCAAAATTGTTGAATCTGTCCCCAACAATTGCTGGTGTTACTCTGCTTTCTCTTGGCAATGGGGCACCTGATGTTTTTTCCAGCCTTGTTGCCTTCATGGGGGATGGAACGAGCGATGTCGGTTTGAATACGGTTCTCGGCGGAGCCTCGTTCGTCACCTGTGTCGTCGTCGGAATCGTAAGCATTTTGCTGCGTCGGCGTCGGATCAAGGTGAATAGGTCGGCCTTCATAAGAGATATTTTGTTCTTCCTCTTGGCTCTCTTGTCTGTTTTCTTGATTTTGCTTCATGGTCATATCAATCTTTGGGGTTCCATTGGCCTTTTTTCCATGTATGTTGTTTATGTTTTGGTTGTTTACATCTCCCATGTCCAATGGATTAGTTTCAGAAGTAATATCTGTGAACCCCTTTTGAAAGAGCCACCAAAAGGTGAGTTTGAGGGTCGAAATGAATCACGAGACGATGACGACGATGACGATGACGACGATGTTCGAATTGACGTTAATGAACTCTGTTTTTGTCCAAGATTATCACCTTCTTGTCTTGTTTTTCTTCGCATTCTTGAGATTCCTCTTTACTTGCCTAGAAGACTGACAATTCCAGCCATTGCTGAAGAAAACTGGTCTAGACCATTTGCAGTTGCTTCAGTGACATTGGCTCCCCTTCTCTTATCCCTTCTTTGGACATTTAACCTCTCAGACGATGCTTCTCACCCGAACCTGATCATCTGTGTCATCGGTTCGATCCTCGGAGTTACTTTTGGAATTCTTGCATTTGTGACAACCGAGGATTCAAGCCCGCCAAAGAAGTGCCTGTTCCCTTGGCTTGCAGCTGGCTTCACCATGAGCTTAACATGGAGTTATATTGTAGCTGATGAACTGGTAGGCCTATTGGTTTCACTTGGCTACATAATGGGCATAAGCCCTTCGATTCTAGGACTCACCTTCCTGGCTTGGGGAAACTCTCTAGGGGATTTGGTTGCCAATGTGACCATGGCCTTGAACGGCGGGCAGCGGGGCGCCCAAATCGCCATCTCCGGCTGCTACGCCGGCCCCATCTTCAACACTCTGTTCG